GACCCATCAGTGTGTCCCGTCACCTCTCCATACTTACAGTTACCCTGTGTGCATGACTCGGGGGGGTCAAAACTATGGCCTGAGACTGACGCTTTCCCACCAAGGTGTGCAGAGTTTTCAGCTCTCAGCAGGCAGTCGGGAGCCCCTGCTCCACTTTACAGTTGGGGAAACTGAGGTACTGTGTGACAAGTTTCCCCACATTCACATGCCTGCATCTTCGCTTTATGTCGGTTTCCCCACCTTTCACTGTAAAGCTTAGACCACCCCCTGCCCCCCTCTGCTGACACAGCTGAAGCGAAGAAGCAGACATGTGACGCCCCTGGGAAGAAAGTGCTTTCCATTTACCCTGCTTTCTCAGCCTGGCTCCTAGGACCACGGAGATCCTGGCACTTCCTCATGAGCCTCTCCCAGAATCTGCCAAATCTCTCTCCTTTCTTCCCACCCCCTCCTCCTCATCACCCCTCTGCCTCCTGTGACTTCCACTGGCTGCGCATCCAGCTGATCCATGGCCAAGATAATCAGATTATCATGGGTCCAGAATAATCTATTCCATATGGCTTGCCAACTCAGTGGCTCCGGGAGCCAGAGGTGTGAGAAGAGGGGGTGATCTCAGTTGGGAGGGGCTCCCTGGGAGCTTCTGGCCGGAAAGTAGCTGGGAGGCTGCAGGGGAAGGAGGGAGGCAGAGGGGGAGCTGGGGGCCTCTGTGCTGGGCCCTCTGACTGCTCTGGGCTACAGGCAACCTCAGCATCTATCTGTGGCCCAGGGGGTGATTAGGATCCATGGTGGGGGGCCAGGCACTCCTCAGGGCCTTTCCACTCTTTGCATTGGGGGGTTGTTCACTATAGGGCGCTGTTTCTCAAAAGTGGCTGCATTTCCTAATTCTGGGGAGATTTTACTTTTCAGACCCAGACTCTGTGGCTCCATTCTCAGGGATTCTGGTTCAGCAGGTCCAGGGTGAGCCTGGAAACCTTTTTTTCATCTCCACAGGCTCCTGCGATGTGGAGCAAGGTTCCATGGGGACTTGAGGACTCCAGGGCCTCGCCCCCACCCTGGTACCCTCATTCTCAGGGCATCCCTCCAGGAGGAAAGGAGCTACCCGAGTCCTCCAGAGGAGATGGGAGATGGGCCCAGACAGAGCCAAATGGTCCCCAGCTCTGCCCCTTCTAGCCAAGTGACATTTCCTCATCGCCAGTCCATTTCCTCATCTCCAAAGTGAGTCGATATCTACAACAGCGTGGTTATGAGTTGTGACCCAGCCACGCCCCAACACGGTGACAATAGTGAATATGCCCGTGGATGCTGTACAAAGCTTGTTGTGCAGTATGATTTTCACAATGTTAGCAGTCAGCACGGTAGGTGTTACTCACCCCAGGACACAGCAGCAGAAGCTGGGGCCCAGAGGGAGAGTGACACAGTTAGTATACGGCAGGGCAGGGATTTCAACCACACTGGCCACACTCCAGAGGCATGTCCTAGGCTATATGAAGGTGGGGGCTTCATTAATAACAATCATGCCCCAGAAAGCTCTCGGGCTGGTGCAAGGTGTGACGGGAAGACCCCTGGCAGTAGGGGACCCCCAAATTAGGAGCTTCCCAGGGGACGTGCCTGCTGATGCTAAGCAGGCTGGCGGTGAAAGAGCTGCTTCCTTCTCCGCGGGCTCTGGCTCCAGTGGGGATTAAGGGCTGCAGGGGGAGTACTGACATAGCACCTTTGATTAGCACTCCTGTGTCAGAGGGGCTGGCCGGGAAATGAAGGCACTGGGGCGGGGAGGCAGGAGGGGGGCAGTGCCCAGGACCTGGGCTTGGCCTGCCGAAGCCAGCTAGTTCCTCGCAGGCCCGAGCCTACGAGGGTGCTGCCCTGCCCTGCCTGTCCCCCACTCTGGCCAAGGACCCCATTGAACTCGCACCTCTCCTCAGTGGGGCTGTCTCCAGGCCTCATTTCCCAGCCTTACACTTTGGCAGGAGAAGGCAGGCTCGAGAGGGGCAGCAGGAGCCACTGGCTCGGCACTTGTCAAAACACAGGCCTCCAAGGTGTGAAGTCCTCACCCCAGCGGGAGGGCATGTGGGCCCTGCTGCCCGGAGAACTCATTAACTCGGGCAGCTCCCAAATGAACCTACCAGAGAGGCTGGTGATAAGGAGATCAAAGGCGAGAGGCATGGGGAGCGGGAAGAGGGAGGCTGGCTGGCAGGAGGTGGTAGAACCCAGGCTCCTGGTTGGGGGTTCCTACTTTGCTCCCACTTGGCTCCATCAGGCCCACTGACCATAGCCTTTGCACAACCTGGGTCCAAAGGCGCCAGGGACAATGAGAGAGGGAAGGACTCCCACGTGGCACCTCCAGTTTATCAGCCTTTAAGGCTGAAGACTCGGCCTCTTTCATGCCATTTTTGTGGGCTTTTTGTTTCCACCCTTTTTGTTATTCACCCTTGGGTCTTTTTAACTCTCCCTCACCCCTGACACCAGAGACCCTTTTGTCACACACCACTTATGGTGCCCCCTTCCTGTCCCAGATCTCTCTATGGCTCCCTTGTCAACACTTAACGAATGTTAACTATTAGGTCCCAGATCTGAGAAACCTCAGGGACCAGAGCTGTGTTTTCAGGATAAACAGTCTGCCTCCCACACATACGGCCTCTTGTCCAATTATGTCTAGTTGATTTTGTACTTAATAAAACAGAGATTTCACTTTTGGGGGCATTATTGCCAATAAACCAGTGGAAATCACAATCATGTGGGAACTGGAGGGATTTTTGATATCCGGAAGGCTGGCAACAGGGTGCCCAGACTCCAGTCTGTCCAGCCTTCACCCTGCACCCGCTCCTGTGCTGTGCACAACACTGCCAAGTTCCAATCACTTGTTCCTTCGGGTCCAGCAGGATCGAAGGGGCCCAGTCATTGGGCTCCAATACCACGTTCTTGGCTTGGACCTGGAACCCAAGAAGGCATCCATTAGCCAGGGGCAGACCCTGCTGACAGCTGCAGGCTGATGGGGGCCCTCCTAGGCCAGGCTCTCCTTGGAAGTAGATGGGTCCTGTGCTGTGTCCCCAGGGAGTGGGCTCCTCCATTCTCCCCAAGGATGGTTTAGTACTGCCTCCCCTGAATGTGATCCTGGACATACGCATTCTGGGGCTGTTGGGACAGACTGCAGAGGAGATGGTCCAGGTGTTAGAAAAGGTCAAGGGCATTGAAGATAAAAGAGACAAAGGAAGGGGGTGGTGATGGGCAGAGACGCCCAAGGAGAAGGTAACAAGCCACTTGGCTTTCTTTCCTACAAATCAGCTCACCCATCAGTCTCCCAGGCCTGGAAGCCATGGAGGATGCAAAGCTTTAGATCCCCAGCACTGAAAGAGACCCTGGGTACCACTTCTCTTGAAGATGTGAAGCCAGATACCAGGTACAGCTGGAGAGCATCATGTATAAAGTAGCTGTAGCTGTTATGACAAGGTGCAAACCCCAACCAGAGCGGTCGGGTAGGCAATACAGATTCTGAGATTTCCTATGTGATAATCATGTTGTCTGTAAATATAGTTTTTTTTGTGTTGTTTTTTTTTAAGATTTTTATTGGGGAATTGGGGGAGGGGAACACACAAGTTGCTGTCCTTTTGTTCTTCAGCCTAGTTGTGAAGGACGTCACTTCACTGGCCCATGTTGGTGTTATCATTGTGCTCTTCCCTGGTGAGGCAGATCGGTCACTGGACCATTGGACGGCCGCTCACGGTAGCTCATGGCAGCCCACTGCAGCTCCACTGCAGCCTACGCCATCGCCGTCGACTCACGGCAGCCCAGCTCCAGGTCGAGCTGTTGTTCACCATCTTAGCTGTAGAGGGCGCAGAGTCACTGGCCCTAATGTGGGATCCGAACCGGGGCTCTGCTGCTCAGAGCTGGTGTCCCAAGCCAACTCTTAATCAACTCGCCACTCAGCTGGCCCCTGTAAATACAGTTTTATTTCTTCCTTTCCAATCTGCATGCCTTTTAATTTTTTTTCTTACTGCACAAGCTAGACCCTCCAGGACAAAGCTGAATAGGCATGGGTAAGAGGCGATAATCTCACTTTGTCCTCAATATTAGGGTGAAAACTTTCAGGTTTTCACTATTTAATATGACGTTAGCTGTATGTTCTTTGTAGATGCCTTTTATAGGGTTGAGAAAGTTTACCTCTATTCCTAGTTTATTGGGAATTTTTATCATGTAGGGGTGTTGAATTTTGTCAAATGCTTTTTTCTGTGTCATTTTCACTCACATTGGCAAAGCCTGTTTTGTTATATCTGCCCCAGAGTGGAAGAACACGTGCTAGAGACGAGTGGTGGCAGCCGTGGCAACAGGCCAAGCCCCTGATCCTGCCCAGCTTAGGGTGTCCTGGAGGGTGGCAGGCTCACCCTTCCTGCGGCTCAGATGGTCCAGCAACCTGATCAGATTCGGCCAGCTTGTTGGCTGTGCCTGGGAGAGCTTCCTCATAGTGTTCCCCCTACTTACGGCCACCAGGAAGGTCGCATCCAGGACCAGTCTGCCTCAGAGAAGGAAGGGATTACTGTTTCTGTCACCTGTCGCTGGAATCAGGTCCTCACCCCCAATCCCTAGCTGACTGTACAGATCTGGCTGCAGCATGCCCCTAGGATCCCATTATACAATCTGGAAACGAAGGTGCAAGCAAATTTATTTGCAAGGTCCCCAACAGGTGAGGGCAGCCCCAAACCTACCTACTGGACTCCCAGGTCTCTGCTCATGCTTCCTTTAACCTGCTGAGCTGGCCCAACACCCGGAGCTGGGGCGCAGGCAGGAGGCTGGAGTGGCTGAGTACGGTGCCCACGCGAGGGCCGGGGCTGGGGGTGGGGCAAGCTGCTGCAGCCCACCGGCCGGCACCTTCGCCTTCCCCTCCGTTGGTTCAAAGGGTCAGGCCCCGCCCCTTCCAGGTCCTGAGCCAGCTTTGATGTGCTGATGTGGCCTGGAAGGGGCCACTTCACACCTCGGGCTCGGGATAAAGCGGTCCTCGGCCGCCGGTCCCCAGACGCGCCGCCGCTGCCATGGCCCAGTCCCTGTGCCGGCCGCTCTCCGAGTCCTGGATTCTCCCCGCGGCCTGGGGACCAGCTCAGCCGCCGCCGCCCTCTGACAGGGACTGCGGCTGCTCCCCCGCCTCGTCCCCAAACTCCTGGGGCAGCGCCCCGGCTGGCAGCCCCGTGCCGAGACCCAGGCGGCCCGGATCTCGCGCAGCCCCTCGCGTCCCGACCACCGAGAGGCGCGGCCCCCGGAGCAGCCGCCTGGGCAGCGGGCAGCGGCAGAGCGCCAGCGAGCGCGAGAAGCTGCGCATGCGCACGCTCGCCCGCGCGCTGCACGAGCTGCGCCGCTTCCTGCCGCCGTCGGTGGCGCCGACCGGCCAGAGCCTGACCAAGATCGAGACGCTGCGCCTGGCCATCCGCTACATCGGCCACCTGTCGGCTGTGCTGGGCCTCAGCGAGGAGAGCCTGCGGCGCCGGCGACACAGCGACGCGGTGCTCGCTCGGGGCTGCCCGCTCTGCCCCGACGGCGGCCCCGCTCAGGCGACGCAGGCGCGCGGCCCGGTCCTGGGCTCAGCCGCCCCCGCCGCGGGGTCCTGGGCGTCCTCGCCCGCCTGCCCCGGAGCCCAGGCGGCGCTCGAGCCGCGCGACCCGCCAGTGTTCTACGACGAAGCGGTGTGGCGGGAAGGGCAGGCGACGGAGCCGGACCCCTCGTCTCCGGTTAGTATGTCCTTCCCGCGTGGAACTCGCTCCTCGCGCCTTCGAGGAGGGCGCTCCCGTCCGCGCAGCTTGGCCTCGCCCGCTCGCTCTCCGGAGCGATATAGCTGGCGGCCCCCGGCGAGGGGAGGGAGAGGACGCGCAGGGGACAGGGCCCCTTGAGAGTGGAGCCCACAGGCGCGGACGCCCACGTCGGTGGCCAGCGCTGAGGGCCATGCTGTCCCCTCTCCCCCAGCAGCTCCTCACCGGCGACGTGCTGGCCCTGCTGGAGAGCTGGATGCCCCTCTCGCCCCTGGAGTGGCCACCGGCCTGAGAAGTGGAAGTGACGACGGACAACGGGCGCCCCGTCTGTGAGCCCTGAGGCCTTTGTGGCCTCAGCACCTTGGAAGCGGCCCCTCTCCTGGCCGAGGGCACCTGGGATGCTGGCATGAGCGCTCCTGAGGGTGAGAGCCTGTCCGCCCAGGACGACCCTCCCCAGCCCCTCCCGCGATGGAAGGATCCGTAGGGCGGACACTTGGAGGCAGGCAGGAGGCTCTGCTTAGTGTGTATTTATTTATTTGTGAATAAACTGTGCTGGTGTCAATTGGCAGTTTTTTCTTTCTCTCTCCCTCTTCTCCAGAGAAGACCGTAAGACAGTTGAGAGGGTGTCTTGCAACCTTCAGCCCCCAGAGCGCACAGGCCCAGACCCCCTCCTCCTCGCCTCCAGCCTTGGCTTAGCACCTCCTGATCCACATGGGTCAGCCTGGCAGGGAACATGGTTCATACGGGAAAGTGGCAGGAAATGGAGTCTATTATTTGTTTTAAAACCTGGTCGGGAGCTAGAGAAAACCGAAGTTTCTCTAGAAAATACATCTCCTTTAGTGAGTACGTATTGTACTTATTGTGTTGGGTCCTTTACACATTTCATACCCAAATACCCACCTGTCAGAAGGCTAAACTAAGGGTCAGCACTCAGGCCCTGGTAGGATTTTATTAGGTCCATTCGTTCTGGGGCCTGAGGGGACGCCAGCCCCAAGGGGCCTTTTCACATGTCCCGAGTCCTTATTCCCTTTGTGCTGGAGCTGGGCCTGGACTCTGGGATTGTCCCATCCCCTGTCACTCGTGTCTTTCCCATGTGGTTTAGAGACGTAAAATAACATCAGTGGGCCAGTGCTGAGTTCATGTGACTGTGACCCCCCCCCCTCCAGAGGCTTAGGTGAATGTGAGGCCCGTCTGGCTGCTTCCAAGTCCACACAGCTGACCTGCAACAGACCAGGCTGCCACACTCCTGTCTACATTGACTGGTTTCAGATTAGGGAATTGCTGTGTGGGGACAGGGGAGCCTTGAGCCCAGAAGGAGCCTGGCTTGGGTCTGGGGGTCTGGTGAGCAGGCAAGCCTTGGGGGGGCAAAGGGGGGGGGACAGGGGACGGTGAGGTGAGCAAGGGGATGTAGCCTCTCTGTCCAAGGGTCCTTCAGCCCTCTATGGATACCCAGTCCTCCCCTCTGGCCTCCTCAAGCTTCTTTGAAATACAGGCCTTGATATTTGTTTTTTATAAGAACTTTATTGGGGTATAATTTACATACTATAAAATTGACCTCTTTAAAGTGTGTAATGGAATGGTTTTAGTATATTCATAGTTAATGCAACCATCACCACTATCTAATTTTAGAACATTTTCATCACCCCCCCAAAAGAAACCCTGTATTCCACTCCCCCACCACCATCCCCAGCCCACTATTCTACTTTCTGTTTCTATAGATTTGCCAGCTCCGAACATTTCATATGAATATATCACATGACACATGGCCTTTTGTGTCTGCTTTTTTCACTTAGCATAAGGTTTTCAAGGTTTATTCAGTGTTGTCTGTGTATCAGTTCTTCCTTTCTCCTCATTGCCCGGTAGTATCCCATAGTGTGGATAGACCACAGTGTATTTATCCATTGATGGGTTTGTTTTGAACCCACCTCAGGGATCCTTTCCAGGGCTCCAGCCCAGATCTGGAGGGGCAGTAATTCAGAGTGGGGTGGGGGGTCACTGCCCAGCACTTCGGGGCTCACCTTGACCGCATTTGGCTGCAGAGTGGAATCCCAAAGCAGAGACCCAGCCGTGGGGGCAGGACCTCACACCTTTACTCATCACCCCACCTTCCAGCACCTCCACCCCCAGCTCACTCCCTCCCCTTTGCCCCTCCCTTCCCCGCCAGGACTGTAAACGGGATAGATGGGACAGCTCCTCCAGGAGCCTCCCTAGTTTAGGAAATCTATTTGCATGGCAAAGGCCCTGTGGTTCAGGACAGGGAATTAAAGTTATTAGCAAGTCTTTTCACAGATAAGTGGGGCTCTTTGGCCAGCCCCTCCCCTGCGGAGGGGCTTTCCTCCGTCAGAGCTGGGCCGCCCACCATTTATTAGCATCTGGGTGTGATTTTCATTAACAGGTCCCTGCTAATAAGACCAAGGATTGGAGGTGGGAAGGGCCACCTCCCAACACTCCCGGTCCCCACCCTTTCCTGGGAAGGCCAGCGCCACCGCACGGCACCCGGAGGAAGCCCTGCGTGCCCACTCAGAGGGACAGGACAGTCACCAGCGCCCAGGTAGGTGAGCCGTGGACACGTGCTCTCAGTTCTTAGCTAACCTGTGAGGTAAGCCCCAGCTAAGGGGGCCGTCGTAAGGATGCAAGAGTGTAGTAAGGAAGAGGCTAACTGATAAAGTGACAGCTAAACACCAGCCTGTCTCAAAGAGGCACTGGCTGGCATCTCACCTCGCCTGGGGCCCTGGCAGGGTGCCCTGGTCCGGAGCTGTCTGGGGGCAAGCTTGCTGGAAGGTGGGAGTGATGGCGTCAGCACGGGGCACCCGCCTGTACTCTGCTCACCCCTGGTAAACCATGCTTCCCCGCAGGGCTGCTCGGACAGCCCGACTGACCACAACTCATCGGCGGCGGGGAGAGAAACAGACATTTATAAAGCCATGACCATGGGCTAGGCTCTGTGCTTAGAACTTGAAATTTACCATCTAATTTCAAGTCATTTTAGCCTTTGGGCCACAGGTGAGGCAGATAGGTGTGCTATTTTACAGAAAAAGGTCGAGGAATTTTTCGCGAAGCTAGTACGTGGCTATTGGGATGGTGACAATGGTGAGTGGCAGTGGACAAATCTGGTGTTTGGAAAGGCCCTGGCAGAGAAGCGTGTGCGCGTGCATCTTGGGTGTGAAATTAAGCTCCTAGGACACAGGGGCAGGAAACACGCTTCTGCTTGTTGACTGCACATGTTGCTCCCGCTGAGACAGCTGTGCTGCGTACATGCTGATGCTGGATGGGCCAGTGTGTTAAGGAGGGGCCGCTAAGCCGATCTTCCTGTATTCAAGACGTGTATTCAAGGACATGCCAGGGTCACACTGTGAACTGGGGGCAGCGGAAGGGGAGTGTCTTCATCTAGGAAAGGGGACATTCAACTTGTCAGTGCCAGCGCCACGAGGAAGGTGTCGCGCTAACAAGGAGCATGTGTGTGATCCAGGGGAGGAGGTGAATGGGGACACAAAAGAAGCTGCCGTCACAAAGCCTGCGTGCAGTTGGCCTCTGTGGGCAGTTTATCATGGGGGAGGCTGCAGTTCTCAAAGGCACCACACGGTGTCCTCAGAGAGGTGGACATAGTCATTTAGCTGCTGGGGCCCTGGGTCCAGTTTTCTGGGAAGGCAGTTAGTTCCTAGAGAAGAGAACGGTGCCTCTCTCCCCTCTCCTGTGCTCCCCAGGCCCTCCAGCCTCCACTAAGATTCCAAGACCAGCAGGAAAAGGGCAGTAGTGGCACGGTTCCTGCCTGCCACCTCTCCTGGCACCTCTGCCTCTCACACAAGTGTGACCTCAGGCAGTCGCTCAACATCTGTGTGCCTCAGCCTCTCTAAAGCGATTCCATAAAAGTTGCAAGCCAGCACAGTGAGGGAAGAGAAGTGGGCGGAGGAAAAAGGGGGCCACACAGTAGCTGGGGTGGGCTGAGTGTCTTGCACATTTGAGCAAAGTGGCTTTCCTGGGCCCGTGAGGTGAGTGGCCCTCGCAAGGCCTGAGCCCTGCTGGGGTCTGGACCAGGGGGAAATGAACACACCAACTTGAACAGCAACTTTGGAGTCTGGAAACAATATCGCTGTTTATTTGGGTGACACATCTGTCCGCCTGAGGGCTCTGACAAGCGGCATAGTGGTCGAAGCCCCCCAAAATAGTACCTCTCCCCTTATTGGCTCTGTGGAGGTCCCAGACTGCAAGTCCAGGCTTCTCAGAACTGCCGAGCTGCAGCCCTTTGTGGCTGTGTCTCTTCACCCGAGGGCTGCCTGGGGCGAGGCCTGTGTTGCTGAAACCTTTCCAGGACTGTGGCCCGTCACTTCCTGGCGTTGTCTCTCTGGAAAACCAGGGAGTACCTGTGCAGCCGGGTCCAGTGCTCCTGCTCATTCACCTTGTTCTCCGGCTTCTGAAACCTGGGGACACACAGTAGGAGATGAGAGGAACCTGCTTTGTGCCGCGTCCCCCGCCCCGGCCCCCAGGTCCCCAGGACTGACCTTGACTTCCCTGTGCTAATATCAGGAATTCTCCAGGTGACACACTTGTGCTTCACCTCTGTGTCCTCAGGACACACAGCAAGCACCCAAAACCCCTTTACTGAATGCATGAAGGGTAGCATTCTAAACCGGGAGGTGGACGGTGGCAGGTGGCACAGTGAGGTTAGGAACGGAAGTCTGTTTGCATGGACCAACATTAAACATGTCAGGATGCCAACAACTCCATTGAATAAGCATTTCTTGAGCATCTGCTAGTGACACGCATGGGTACAAGTATTGGGAAGACCAAAGTGACCAAAACAGCCCCTCCTTGTTCCCAGTGTAGTAAAGGCGACAAGAATGAGAGAACATTTGTAGTAGGAGGCATTTAAGTGCAACAGAGGTTCAAATGCAGAAAGGAAGAAGAGATGGACTGTGCCTGTGGAGACAGAGAGTTTGAGTTGGGTCTTTTAAGAAACAAGAGGATGGTTTTTGTTTGTTTTAATAACAAGTAAATGGGGGTGGCAGGTTAGCTCAGGTCGTTAGAGCGCAGGCTTATAACACCAAGGTTGCTGGTTCGATTCCCACGTGGGCCAAGGAGCTGCGCCCTCCACAACTAGATTGAAACAACTACTTGGCTTGGAGCTGATGGTTCCTGGGAAAACACACTGTTCCCCAATAAAATTTCTAAAAAAGAATAAAATAAATTAACAAGTAAATGCATCTTCAGTAGGGAAAAATCAGCGAAGTCCAGGATCCACCCCTCATGCTGCATGTAGGGTGGATGGGCCTGTGGCTACTCAGTACATTAAAGCCTTTTTGAACTTAAAA